TGTCCCCTGCATCGGCAGGCAGGCTCTTAACTACTGCGCCACCAGGGAAGCCCCAACTTGCCATTTTTAAGATAAGGAAACTGATGATTTGTTTCTACTTTCCTAGAGAAAGCCTGTGCGCAGCACCGAAGACCCAACACGGCCAAAATAAATAAATAAATATTTAAAAAATAATGGTATTGTGGATATTTTTCTAAAGAGTACTTATTATATCTAAAATAATAATTCCTTAATATAAAATATATCCAGTGAGTGTTTAGATTTTCAATCGACTCCTGTTAATTTTCCTAGTAATTTATTTGAAACCCGATCTGTGGGTCAGTATGCATTTTAAGACTTTGTAATTTTTTTAAAGAAACAACTGGCCCACAAACTAGATTTTACTGATTGCATACCTATAATATAGATCTCTGTATTTCCAGTAAATTAGTAGTTGGATCTAAACGCTTCCTATATTTATATTCCCATTTTCCTCTTTTTGTAAGATTGCTTTATAGTTGATAATTTTTCTTCCATCAGGATGCAGGTGATGTCTGGTTGATTCTGTCTTTCTGGGATGTCAGCAACCATTGATATCATCAATTCATTAGGAATTGCAATATGATGACATGCTATCACTTTTCATTTATTAGCTGGAATATTTCTATAAAGAGAAACTTTCCCTTGAGTAGTATCTAGTTACCCAGTGGTACTTGGGACAATGATAAATATATGTGCTTTTGTTCTCTTTATCAGTTTTCAAAATGACAAGTTGGTCCATCATTCTCTAGTGATGGCCAGTGAGGGTTTTTTTTTTTTAATGTAATAAATGAACTAATGAAAAGAGGCCTGTTATTAGAAGAACTGGGGATGTTCCGTTGAAAAGTACAGCTATTTTGATTAATTTTATCAGTAACCCTAAAGAAAATTTACCTACTGTTCCATACCTATTTTAAGACTTTCTAAGGGGAAACCCAAAATCTTCCTCTGAACAGCTACACCATAGCTAACATCCTTATGAGTGTCCTAATTATGCCGTCTTTGCCCAGTTGGAGCGTCTTCAAGTTGGCATCTGAGTCTTTTTACACAACTCTGGTAGTGTGATCGCTTCCTTGCCGTTCTGGGCTCATCTTGTTCATATCCTGTTCCACACCTGGAGCTATTTCTCCAAGGACCCCTGCTTCCTTTCAGTAGAGACCATAATCTGTATTTCTAGGGTTGGAGAATAGATTTTTTTTTTTAAAGAGGGGCTCTGCATATTTAAAGGTTGTTTTGACTAGTACTAAAGGAGTTCAAGAACCAAAGGAGTTCTAATTAAAAAAAAATACTGGAGTCTCACTCTGAGATCCTAAGTGGGGCCTGGAATGATCTAGTTCTGTCATTTTCCCTGGTCTCCATAGCTATATTAAGATCCTTATAGTGTGTCATGTATGTTTCTCTTTTGTCCATGTCTTTATGGGGAATCCACACAGACACGTTGTGTCTTTCACTTCCTATCAAGTATTAAGCCAGATGGCTTTTCTCCCAGGCTGAAGAGTCTCAGGGTGACTTCTGTGGAAAGATACT